TCCGAAGAAGAAACCAAAAGGGCAACAAGAACAGGTTGTCTCAGAAGACGCTGCTGCAGTGAAGCCGAAACCCAATCCCAAGAAGCATCCTGAAGACAAGAACAAAAAGGGAAAGGGGAAAGGTAAAGGTGATGGAAAGGATCGCAGCCGAAGTCCGAGTACAGACAAGAAGAAGATACCATGCAAATACTTCGTGAAAGGTAACTGCACTATGGGGAAAGATTGCCCATTCAGTCACAAGAAACCCAGATCACCATCCAGAGGATCTTCTGTCGGAAAGAATGACAAGCCAGTATGTTGGATGTGGATTCGAGGAACTTGTGACAAAGGGAAGGATTGCAAGTTCTATCATGACCCAAAAGCCTCTCCTAAGAAAGGGATATCTGCACCAGCTGACTCAGGAGACGATAGGCCAAAGCCCAAGGCAAAACCCAAACCGAAGCCTAAGGCGAAGCCTGGAGCCCCAGCCATTGACGGTGAACTCTTCATAGACGAATCCGAAGATGAAGGGATTGCTGCATCCGCCAAGGCAAGAGAAGGAGGTGCAAAAGTATCCTTTGATGAAGAGACTTGTGAGATCATGTTGAACGAAGCGATCTACTCAGTCAGGAACAAATGGAAGGTAGTAGAAAGGAAACCTCTACGTCCAGACATCAAACGATACGATGAGAAAGAGCTCACCTGCTACACGAGGAAAGAACAAATCAGATTTGAAGAAAAGGTCGCAGAGGCAAGAGGCATATTGATGGTCCCCTACACTGAGATCAAGAGGGTCCGAATACCAGTTGGACCAAAGGGTGACCTAGCGGTCACTATGTCTTTCGACGAAGATGACGGCCTAGTTTTCCATCATAAAGTCATTCCTCATGTATGCGAGGGAAAGAAAGATCATGCAGACACAAAGACATTGTCTATTCCAGCCAAAGGGTCAAGAACGAAGTTCATCATGGACACAGGATGTGGGTATGATTTGATATCGAAAGGAAGAGCCAAGAAATTAGGTCTGGAAGTGAGAGAAAGCGACCAATCAATGTCATTCTATACTGCAAATGGAGTGACATCCACAAAAGGAGTCGCCGACATTCATTTCGACGAATTTGACTCTACCTACTCCCCATTCGTCCTAGATGAGTCTCCTTCAGTACTGTCTGTTGGAAAGAAATGCATGGAGGAAGGATACACATTCATATGGCCAGCCTGCGGCGACCCGTACATGGTTTCCCCGAACTACAAGAAGATCATGTTAGAAGTAGAGGGAAACATCCCATATATTGTCAAGGGCAGTGACTTCTGTACTCCCACCGACGATACAAGGGCGGAGATGATCGCAAGGTTCACCCTAGGAGAAGATGAAGCTGATTACCAATCGACTTTCATCAACTGTGATGTGGATCCTCAAGGAATCACGTGTGATGATGACGACCTCCCTGTGATTGAGCCTCCAAAAGTCAAAAGGCGAAAGAGGAATAAGAAGTTCAAGGCATCTCCTGGAGAAGAAGATGAGGTAGGATCAGATGTCGCCGGAGACAGTGAACCAGAAGCTGACGATGATGATGCAGATGACATCGAGGTGGATGTTGTTGACGGTGCAAGTAGAATGGTGAGAAGAGGAACTCTGAAAGCAGATGCCAGGAAAATCGAGCATCTACTCACACATCGTTACAAGAATCCCTACTGTGAGTCATGCATCAGAGCAAAGATGAAACACTTCAAGACGCATCGAGGAGCGTTCAAGAGAAAGCTCAAAGCTTTTGGAGATCTGGTTACCTTTGATTTTGTCGATACGAGGAACATCCTTGATCAAGGGATCAGTACTGATCGAGAGATCTTCGTCATTCGTGACAGGTACACAGGCGTCATATGGGCCTATCCGTCGAAAGAGAGGTTTACCAAGGACGTGGTCAATGCAATAAACCACTTCAAAGGATTGAAGAAGATCAAGATTGCTTATGCCGACAAAGCCCCAGAGTTTGAGACGGCTATGAAGCAGCTGAAGATCCCATTCGATCACTCTCTACCGAATCATCCTCAGAACAATTCTCTGGCGGAGAGGAACAATCAGTTCATTATGATGACAACCGCAACTTGTCTCTTGGAAGCGGGGTTACCGCCATGTTTCTGGAGCTATGCAGTAGAATGCGTCAGCCATCTTTTGAACATTGAGGAAGGAGAGGACGGAGTGAGCCCTTGGTACAAGCTACATGGAAAAGAGTTCCATGGAGAGAAGATCCCCTTTGGTGCAAAGGTCTTCTTCATGCCGAGCAGTCAAGGAAGGATTGAGCAGAGGCACAAGTTTGATCCCAAGGGAATCCCAGGTATTTTCGCCGGATATGAGATCAAGCCCGGGATGAACTGGTCGAGACAATATAGAGTGTGGAGTCTTGAAACTTTTGCACATCAAAGCCCTGCATTTGATGCCAATCGTCCTATCAGAAAGCTACTCACACCACAGCTCACGGAGACCCTGGTATTCCTCGCTCCCATCGAATTCCCGTTGAAGGAAGGATATGAGAAGATCAACAACACGTTGGAAGGCATGAAGATCCGTGACAGGAGAGATGGAGAGCCAGAGGTCGGAGATCCTAGTCAAATGATTGACTATGGAGATTACGAACCAACTGAGCCCGGTATGGATTTTGAGGAGCTTGCGGAAAGGGAGATTAGGGATGAGGACGACGAAGACGCCATTGGAGATCATGAAGCAGATGATGAAGAACGAGATGATCCCGGTGATGATGATGATCCAAAACCTGATGGCGGTCACTCCAAAATATTGTCCAAACCTGCCAAGGCGAAGGTACCACCTTCGACCGGCAGGGAAGATCACCCGCCAGTTGGAGATCCTTCAATGGATCACATGTCCATGGGAAAAGCAAGTGATGGTATCATCTACTTGAATGATGATGGTGAAACCGTGAAATTGGACAGGAAAGGGAATCCATATAAGGTTGGATCAGACGGAAGAAGGTTCTTCAGGTCATCACCGAGACCAAGATCAAAATATACTCCGGAAGAATGGAAAGCGTTATCTCTATCTGATAGAGCTATCGCTGAGAAGAAAGAAGCTCTCGAGAAAGAAAAGATGAAAGAGAGAGAGAGTAAAGGTGCGGGATCCAGCAAGGACAAAAGGAAGAAGAAAAAGGAGGACAAGGATGATGATCCTAAGGACGTATCGCCCAACATCTTCATCGATCTGAAGAAAGATCGGACGCTGATCACCGATGACGATGACATGGGGGGCTATAGCCCATCTTCGGCATCTACACTTTCCACAGAACTCCCAAGCGACGACGATTACTTAGTCGAATGGGAGGAATGGACGAGTGTGGAGAATGGGTTCGGCCCACGTGCTACTTGGGATCCACTCAATATCATTGATGTCAACAGTGGAGAAATCCTCAATGATATGGCAGTAGCATATGCAATGCCAACGGAATCCAATAGATGCACAACCGAAGATTTCACAAAGGACTTGAAAGATCATCACTTGTCATTTCCATCAATGCCCTGCATCAACTCGATCTCCAAACATCGAGAAAGATACACATATGCCGACACAACGAACCCGATGAGTGCTTATCGGAACCTGTTCAATGCGGCAGTCTCCAGACCTGTTAGTCGAGCAGAAATGCTGAAGAATCCCAAGGCCAAAGCCTCAATGAGAAAAGAATGGTTGGGACTTCATGAGCAAGGAGTGTTCGACTTCTCTGTGATTCGGGAGTATCACGACGTAAAACAAGAAGCGCTCACTCTGAAGCAGGTCGTGCACTTTGCAAGGGTCCATGGCATCATTGTGGAAAAGAACTACCAGTTGCCAATGAGTGATGAGAGACGAAAATTTAAGGGAAGAGGAGTATTGCTAGGAAACAAAGTGAAGAATCAGAATTGGGAAGGAGCTTTCTTTCAGGACTTGGGCAATTCACCAGCGTCCTTTGAATCTTCTAGATGAGCAGATTTCTATGGATGTGTTCCCGGACATTCGGTCAAGCTCGCTGATGCGATTCAGGCATACATTCAGGCTTCTCTTACGGGACCGCCCTGTTGGGTCGAGTTACCGTCAGACGCGTGGCCAGATGATGTTGGTGTATCAAAGTATCATCGACCAGTGGTACGCCTCCTCAAAGCCTTGTATGGACATCCGGACGCAGGTACAATGTGGGAGAAGCACTGCGATACGCAGGTGCGCCAACTTGGCTTCAAGCCAATTGGTGATGAATGGCCATCAATGTATTTTCATGAAGGCCTGAAACTTCTTCTCGTTATATATGTGGACGACCTGAAACTTGCCGGACCAACCGAGAACATGACCAAAGGATGGTCTATGCTACGAACGAAACTCAGGATTGAGCCCGAGACTGATCTTGGACTTTATCTCGGCTGCATGCTCACACGAGGAGAGTCCAAACTCCACGATGGAACAGTAGTCAACACCGTCTCATACAACATGGAAGGATTGTTGAAACTGTCCGTCGAGAAGTATTTAGACATTGTCGGTCATGATACAAAATTGAAGAAGGTCACGACACCAAGCGTCCCAGAAGAAACCAAATCTCATCCCGCACGAGCACCCAATCCAAAGCCTTGAGACTTGGATGTTTCATGAGACTTGGATTTTGGCTTGGGGTGTCTCAAAGTAGATGTAAGCAAAGGTCAATGGCGCTTGTCAGCACAGGTCAATGGCGACTGTTACTGTCAGACTCAGTGAACGATGATAATTAGGCACTCAGCGCAGCTCTACAAGTGCCGCAAATTTATTGCTTGCCCATGATAAGCACGTAGTGCCATTAAACTTAGAAATAAAAATTATCTCTTCGATAAAAGCCCAGCGCCCTCTTGATGAGCAAGGGGAGGCAGGATAAAAATAAACAGTTGATGAGCGCAACGTATTCTCCCCCACGCAAGATAATAATTGTTACCTGTTTTCAATTAGCAGAACCCTACGACATGTTGGCAAACATTTTGGACGCACTGTTTTTGGGAAGCAAATTTTGTGACGCGTCATGGAGCTGAGCTTGTTGGTGAGCCGAGCGCAGCTTTGTCCATTTCAAGCCAGCTCGGTGCAACCATGGGAGCCCGCAAGAGACCAGCTTCTGCCTCTCGGAAGCGGCCTGCGGCAGCAGATGTGGCAGATGCGGCGAAGCGCCCGGCGGTTGTAAAGTCGCCTAGCGTCATGGAAGAGTCAGATGAAGATGCCCCGCCCAGGAGTGGTTTTTTTTGTTGGTCTTTTGTTGTTGGCCAGACTTGAAATCTTTTCGTTGTATATTGTATATCGAAATTTAAGATATCATTGCCCCGCGCTCCACCTGACCAGGAGTCAGAAGGAGAACAATGACAAGTCTCCTGCAGGGAGCGTTTTTCCGGACTCAGAGGCTGAGGACACACCCCCGGCTGATGAGCTTTTGCCTCCGGCTATTTCTGACATTGGGGCCGGGACTGGTGAAACATGTGCGATTTTTAAGGCATTTTTGGTTAGAACCTGTCAGCAGTTCAGGTCATGAGTCGCTGGTTTTAGGGTGACTGCTAGCAAATTTTTCTATAATCTTCTATATATAATATAATCTTTTTCATCAGCGAAGTGTTGCCGTTTTGGCCTTCAGTCCTCCTAGCTTGCTTGCTGAGTTGTCATACAGACATGTGAGTTTCCTTTGTGGTTGTTGGTGTTGTTGTAAATGTGGTATCTGGGGAGGGTTGACCATGCCAGCCGTTGTGGTTGTCTAGGATGGTTGATGGCTGACGGTTGACTGTTGTGTGTTTGACTTGTGATTTGAACTTTTGACTGTTGTGTTGACCGTGACTGTTGCGGTTGTTGTTGTTGCTGTTCGTGATGAGGAGGTGATCGGGGTGGTTATGATAGACTCTCTGGTCATGACCGTGATGAGCGTGATGATGTTGCTGATGAGTGTCGTGGTTCACGATGATGTATAAACATACATGTTGTTGTGACTGTTGTTCATTGATTTGATTTTTGTTTGTTCGTTTTTTGTTGGTTGTTTGTTGATTGTTTGAGTGTCCTTGTCCTTGTCCGTATGCTTGTCGTCGTTGCTGTTATTGTTGCGGTTGCTGCTGTGGCTTGGTTGCCGTATTGTAGATGTATTTCTTGATATCGCGCCCCCCCCAGGTGTCCAACTTTGCACATTACTGGCTCAATGCGTTCCCGGATCTATGCTCTGAAGTGCAGGGCTCCCTTGCATCTTTGGGACGGCCCTTGAAGGTTGGCTCCATTTGCACGGGATGGGGCGTTTGCGACATGTCCGTCAGTGCCGTCAGCGAAGTTTTTGGCATCAAGCAGGAGGCCGACAAGCCTGTCCCAAAGGCGGGAAGATTTGGAGAGATGGGATGGGGAGCAAGACACGACATGAGTTTACTACATACCTAATCAACCTGGGCACAAAACCTGACATGTCACATCGCCTCGCGCAGCTGCTCCGCTGTTCCCGGGAGATCCAAGTGAGCGCAATTAGTTTTAACGAGTTTTAATTGGCAATGCTTCGAAAAAAGATCTTTAATCTTGCAAGAGGGATTCCGTATTCTTGTTTGCTTCTGGTGTTGACAGCCATGGCGCTTGACACTCGATGCCCGCTCCTGGTAAGAAGCGGCCTTTCCGGGGTCGCAAGGGTTTGGAGTTGACAGCTTTGCTGCAAAAGCATTGCCGGTGCCGTGCCCAAGAATGCTTCCGGCAATTCGCTTCGCTTGAAGAACAGATTCGCGACGCGCGGGCTGATTTTCAGAAGTTGCCACGTGAAAAGAAGGACAGTTGTGTTGGTGCTTGAAACATATTTTGAACAACTACAATCTATTCTGTTTTTTCCCTGTGTTCTATCCTATAGAAAGGTCCTATAGGCTCACCACAAACACGGCTTCCTAATCAATTTGCTTATCCTTAAAGGAGAGTTGGATTGGTGCCACCTTCAACGCAGTAGAGCGCGACCAAGCAGGTGTCTCCCGCTCTGCTGCAGCTCCCGCAGATGAAGATGTATTTTTGGCTTCGGACGAAGAACCCCTTTTTTTCTGCTCAGATGATGAGCTGGCTGTCGAGTCAGACTCAGACCAGCCCCTTGCTGCGTCTGATTCAGAGGTGTTCTTTTCTTCGGAACCTGAGGATGCAAGATCTACTGCGCCATGCCGGCCCCGGAAGCGAGCTCGTTACAACGCTAGGAGTTCCGAGCGGCTGAAATTCCTTGGCCGCCCGGTTTGCCGATTTGCTTTGTCCCGCCTCCTCCAAGTGGGTGACTCCTCTTTGCAAAAATTGAGGACTGGACAGCCCCTTTTTACCAACAAAGATCGTCTTCCCCTACCGAAGCACCCGACTTTCGGGTTCACTTTGAGAGGCGAGGTAGCAGCTTTGTGGGAAGACATTGTGATGTTTTTGTGGCACATTTATCAGACGGCCGCGGAAGTTCTCCCCACAAATTGGAAGAATATTAAGCGTGAGACTCCATTCTTTGAGGATGACTTGGACCCCAAGGATGAAAGGGACCGACTGGTCAATTCCATTGCCCAAACACTCCACACGAGCGCGACAGACATGGAAGTTAGCATGATTGGGCCAGGAACTTTCGTTGGGCCTCGCAGATGCGTGATGCACGGAAATCGCACTGACTTGTATTGGGAATACCGTGCGTATGCTGAGACCAGAAATCTTAGAGTTGCATCGCAGAGTACCTTTTTACGAGTTGCCAATTGTTGCATCAAGCCCGGTTTGAGAAATGGGCATCTGAAATTCCGCAAGCCCAGCGAACACGCTGTTTGCGATGAATGTTACAATCTGCGCGAGCAAGTGAGACAAACCAAAGATGCTGCAGGAAAACTTGAAGCGCAAAAGGCTTTTCACCGTCACCAATTGAGCCAGTGGTTGGACAGGCAAATCTATTGGTCACTTCGATCCATGAGCCAAACCTGGTTTTCTCGCATGCTGGACGAGAACACAAGGCAAGAACTGACTCCTTGAGTTTTTGCATGGAGATCAAGCTACTAGGTATCGAGAGTTAAATTCAAGTTCATAGCCTACATATGAGTCACCTTGCGGCGCCCCTGTCAGGCTATCAGCTCCGGGCAACGTCGCCCAGAACGTCCTATGTGTGATTCAGGACGGTGTCGACCAATCCAAATTTCGATGCCCAAGGGTGAAAGTGACTCAGAGACAAACCAAATTGTTCCAGAAACTGTTCCGGCCTCAACTCCACGTTGCGGCCGCGTGGAATCACGGGCATTCCGTGAACATTGCCGTCGCGGACGAAGACCTCCCCAAGAACTCCGAAACGCAGTTGGAACAACTGGTGAGATCATTCGATGTGGTCCTGAGAGAAGTGGGTGACCTTCCCCCTGGTGTGAATGTCCAAACGGACAACTGCTTTAGGGAAGGGAAGAACCAATGGACAAGTGCTTTTGGGGCTTTGGCGGTGTCGTTGGGCGTTTTTCGCCATTACACTGCGTCCTACCTACGGGTAGGGCACAGTGCCTTCGCTTTGGTTATAGTTATAGCAATTGTTTTCCTTCTGCGGTAATGTCTAAGGTGGTTCTTAGTCATTGACGCCCTGCAGAGTCAGAGGTCCCGCTTTTCCTTCTTGTTGCACTTCAGGTCACGAGGACATCGACCAATACTTTTCACAGATATCCGCTTTGCTTGCCCGATCTGAGTTTTCTGACCCAGAAGAGGTGGTCGCTTTGCTTGATAGCAGCTACCGACCAGATTCACTGGCAGATTTGCAGCGAAAGCAATCCAAAACGATCAAAGTTACCGCTAATGCCTACAAGCTTGACACGGTTGCCCGATGGAAAGATTGGACCAGTGCTTTGGGCGTGCGAATTCTTGGATTGAGACGCTTTGTTTGACATTGATCAAGTGCATATATCCGCAGGCATACAATTTTGTGTTATTTTTAAACCCCATAGATATTATTCCGGGATGCCGGTAGCGTGACAGTCGCGCTGATTGCTTGTGTCCTAGGACACGTTGGCCAGCTTCGTTTCTGCCTTCGAAAGGATGTTGGGGCCAGTTCCTACGGCAATTGCCAACCTGAAGAACTCAGGGGCTTTGATCCCCATGGATGTGATGTGATGCTGTTCTGCAAACGTCGGATGGCAGATCCCGAACCCATTCGAGTGCTATGCCTCATTCCTGCCCAGGTTTCGGTCTCTTTGAGAAGTGCTTTTCGGCAGCCTGTTGGGAAGTGTGATCGGCGACCTCTTGGTGAACAGCTCCTACAAAACATTCCGTCCAAAGCGCAGGCTTGCTTTGACCAGAAATTCATTTCAGCAGATGCTCTGGCATACCTTCTTGGTTGGGTGGGTCGTACACTCCCTCGACTTGACCGGCCCACATCCTACCCATGCCTAGAGCTTCGCAGGTATGAGATTGATTTGCCGCCTGGCGCTGTGCCGCGAGGGCCTGTCCGGTGGGAGGGGCCTGCCAGATTTCGAACCTACACCATTTTGCGGGCAAGTGATGAAGCCAATGATTCAGACCCGGATGATGCAGCCATTCCTGTGCAGGATGATGATGGGTAGTAGACAACAGATTGCAGTCCTTCTTATTAGAAAACATGTGCGCCGCGTGTGAGCAGTTAGCCGCATCGATTTTTCACGCAGAGTTCCTACACCACAGATTGCACTTCCGCTCCATGAGTGAGTTTGTTTATGAACAAGACATCATTCCGTTTTAGGATGCACTTACCTTGGGTGGGCCTGTGTTGGGTGCTGCCAGATCCCGGTTTTATTTTGGACTTGTTTGGTGTCACTGATGTTTATCCCTGTCAGATGGAAGTGGCCTTTATGTGCGAGATCGAAGAGTGGAAGGCGTCCTACCTCAAGAGGGCCTTTTCTGAGGACATCCCCGTGTTCCGCGACATGCGGGAGCTTGGTAGTGGGAAGGCCTATGAGCTGCGCAGCAAAAGAACGCAACGTGTTCCTAAGGCAAGGCATTGGTTGTAGAACTCAGAAGTGTGGTGTTGACATAGGGTTTTGTAATGCTTTTGTGTTCCTGTTTGCCCGCTCGATTGTCAACCAAAAAATAGGGACAACTATTTGATAGTTGGCCCCATTTTTCCGGGGGATCTCTTTCGCAGGTGGACCTGGCAATGGCAGGATATCCCTGCAAATCGGTCAGCAAGCAGAACAACTTTGCCAAGGCGTTCACCGACCCCTCATCGAGCACAGGTGGTGGATACTGCGCGCTCATGAGTTTTGTCCAATACTCCCAGCCGAGCATTGTGATTGTCGAGAACGTTAGTGGACTAGCCCATCAAAGGAAGTCCTTTGAGGAGTGCCCGATTCAGATCCAGAATGCTACGATGTCCAAGAAAGGATACCGGCATTGGCACACTGTTTTGAGTAGCAAAGAGTTCGGCCTGAGCCATTCGCGGAGCCGTTGCTGGGCTATCTACATCAAAGAATCCCTGTGCAAGTCCGAGAAGCAGCTCTGAAGAATATATGTCTTGTCCGTGTCTGGTCCGTCTTCCCAAAGAAAGTTGCAAGTGTTTGGAAAGCAACCATTGATTGATGCATTTCTCGATTCTGTACACCTTATTCAAAAAGGTTAAAAACATGAAAGCAAAGGCCATATTCCCTCTACCCATACTATTTCTGACCTTGTTCATTGTTCTGCTTGGCACTGGTTTTCTCTAGGTCTCCGATGGATTTGCTGCTCTCATTCCGTTGCAAGCCCTTGCCCTTGGAGTCCTATTTACGGCCCAAGGAGACCGAGATTGCAGGCAGCCGCCCGGCGCGAGTGGTGCAGCGAGGCAGTGGCCAGAAATGGAAGCAAGGCCTTGAGGTGGCTAGTTCAGCCTTGGGCAAAGTTCCTCAACTCTGCTTCGCAATTTGTTCTTTGACTTTCGTGTTTTTGGTCGACCCTCTGGAGCCCAAAACACCCTCCCCCAAAATGACGTGTTCAATTGAATCTGTTTTGCAGACATTCCAGGCGGCAGTCCAGAAGTCCATGAAGTTTTTGCGGGAGCAGGGTTTGTCGTGCTTGACCGACAGGGAGCATGCCATTTTGGCAGTGGCTGTGACCGAGCTAGACCAGCAAGGCTATGAGCCCTTCCTGGAATCGAACCGCTACGTGATTCAGGTCGAGACTTGGAAGATCTTGGAAGTCTTGCAATTGAAGCTGTTGTGCGGTTGTGTTACTTCGCAATCTTCCTTTTGCATTGCGCCTTGAACCTCAAGTCCCTTTGAATCATACTTTGGGATTTCTTGGCCCCAACCCCCTAATTGCCGACCTGTGAGGACCAGAATTTTGCCCGTGCAACATGGATGAAGTCTGGCCCCTGGCTTTGCCCCTGCCTTCTCCCCCATGGAAAGTACGTGATCTCTGGTCGATGGTCTTGCTTGACAGCGCAGGATGGTGGGTTTTTTCCAGTTTTATGGGCTTTCTTGTGAGTCTCACCCTCTGTTTTGTTTGTCATTATTTGTGGAGTTCCTTGAGGGTTGTTTTTTCATGCCCGTGAAGAAATGCCAGGAGAAGATGCTGCTACAGGGTGTTGGCATGGCCGAGTTCCATCAATATCAAATGCGGTCTTTAACGTCTTCCCAGCTTGCTGACCTGGCCGGCAATTCGTTCCTTGCTTTTGAATTCCTTCCGTTGTTGATAGGTGGTCGGTGACATATGCTGAGTCTTTTGAGAGATGCCCCCGCGTTCCCTTTTTTCTTCGGTTTCCCTCTTGTCGCAAAGACCCAGGTTCTCTGCTCCGGTTTGCGTCGCGATGCTCCTGTGTGCGTTGGCCTGCTGGCAGCCCAAGTCTCTAGAGGATTCCGCCTTACAGTGAATGAACGCACTGATGGCAGCGGGGCGTGTTCCTTGATAATAAGGAAATCCCTTAGGTTGTGACAGTGATTAGCAGCGCCGGCCATCATTCTGCCTTTTGTGTATATTGCGATCATCTATGATGTGTTCACGTTGAAGGATTGTACCTTTATCTGCGAGAGCTTGTTGCTGGTCACTGCTGTGTTGCCCTTGTTTGATACATCTATGCTTTGCTGAAAGCACTCATAGCCTAACATTGGCTAAATTAGTTGCTTGCCTGCCGGGATCATGGGAAAGGCAAAAACTTGGCATTGGGAGAACCTTTCGATGCTTGTAGGTATCGAGTCAATTGTATATTGTGAAGATAAAAGGCCAAGGGAACACATTCCGAGGCTTGTAGAGTCTTGTTAAACGTGTTTGGTGACTCATTGGTTTCTGCGTTTGCGTGTCGTGGATTCCTGGTCTTTGTACATTCGCTGCTTCAAGCTCTTTCCTGGCCTGGAGGCTGGCACTTGGCAGGCATGCCTCCTCGCAAGAGGCAAAAGACAGGTAGACAAGGTGCCGATGCTCTGTCGTCAGGGGCGTCGGCTCCCGTTGTCGCCACCGCCTTTGATGACATCCCCAAGATCATGAGGCAAGCTTTGACCATTTTGGATGATGTCCACGAGCTTCGCCATTACAGTTCAGAGACTGTGCATTTGGAGCCCAAATCTTTGTTGAAGCCTGTGGATGGGGCATTCCCTTGGCCGATTTGTTCCGGCGGGACGTTCAAAGACATTGCTCAAAGGGCTTGGGCTGATCCAGAGCGCTTGATAGAGATGAGCGCCTGCTTTTGCCACAAAGCTGGCCTGGTGGAGTCAGCTGACAAGGAAGAATTTGTCCAACAGTTCTGTAAGCTGGATGTTTCTTGGTGATGTCCAGAGTCCAGAATTTTTGCATTGTGATTTGACAAACCTTGTTCATTTGGTTTTTCTTTTCTTCCTTTGTCTCACCTCTACTTTTTCATATATGAGTTGCACTTGATTCAACAGCATTGCGCAGGTATGGCCTCCTGAAAAAGGTGAATCCTTCATGACTTCCGTCCTGTCCTGGAACTTCAGCGATGCGGCCTTTTGGAGAGGCCGATCTGTGGCCATGTCTGAAGTTGTCACCTTCGCCAGAAGCATTGCTTCATCACGCTTCCGCGAGGCCAGGATGCATGACAGCCAGGGCTCTATATAGTAAAACAATATATTCATTCATCAGGCATCAGACTGAGTTTGATTAGTTCCTCGGATACTACTAGTCATGGGATTTCGGCGAGGTCAAGGGTTCGGCGAGAGGAATCTTTCGGCGAGAGAAGGATTTCGGCGAGCTGTCCAGTGGACGGCTCTCCCAAATTCAGCGGGGCTAAACCCTTTTCGATGTATGTGCTGGAAAAATTACCTGCGGCACTGTAGTTTACTATTGTATCATCGCTGGAACCATGATTGTCTCTTCCGTTATCTGGTGGGTCCCTTCTTAATTGATTTCCGCTTTCCTTAAGCTCAGTCAGGAAGTTGCTTCCCTGGAATGGTTTTCATTCAACTATGTTACCCTTGGTCCTCCCCAGCTACTTCGGCTAGCAACCCCGCGGGTTGCTAGCCCAAGTCTTTCTTTGCCTCACAGTCCCGGTTTCCGCAGTCATAGGTTGGCACTGACCTCGGAATCACGCGAAATTCTTTACATAAAGGTTCGGCTAGCGGCCCTGTGGGTTGCTAGCCCAAGTTGGGGTTGTCGTGAGCCTGGTGGTTCGGCTAGAGAAGTGGCTCCTATCTCTTTATGTATATCATGTTTTCATGTGCAATCATGTTCTTGATAGCTTCAACTTCTTTTGAAGCTTCCCTGCAACCCTAAATATGATGATGGTGCATTCCCTTTCTGGCCCGCGCTAGGGTGAGACCGTGACCTTACGACTTCCTTGCGCCCCTCTTCGGCCTGTCAACTTGGCAGTTGGCTCGCTTTACTTCAGCGATGGCTCTCAGAAGACATTGGGCGCCTTCCTTGTTTGGATTTGCCTGATGTTGGCGACTCAGCTGCCTGATTTTGAGGACAGCGACTATGAGAACCCTTCCTTCTTGGCTTTGGTGGGGTCCTTGCTACGAATCAGAAGTGTGCAAAAGTCTACGGTGGGCGCTGGTGACGAGATAGACAACACCATCGCTCGCATCGTGAAACAAAATGTCGACAGCAAAGTTCAAGCTGTTTCGAGTTTGACTTGGGCCAGCATCCTTGCGAGCATGGGCGAAGGTGTGAGTCTAGACACCTTGATTGCTCGATACAACAACCACCCTGAGGTGAAGGCCTTCGAGAACCAGCAAGCGACTGGAAGCATCTCTTTGGACGGTCGAAAGAGACAGGCAAGGTCTTCCATTTTTTGTTTTGGCCAGCCAGGTTTGACACCTTCCTCATGTTCGATGATTCCTCCCTTTGATGCCTCGAGGTGGTAATGTAGTTTCTTTTTTCCTTGTTTAAATAATTTTAGCCTTGGATGTTTGATAGCCTTGGATGGTCCCTGCAATGCTCCATATAGTGTCCGTTTGGCAGGCCGTCAAAAACTATTTGGAGAAGACCGCGGCCCCAGCTTTCGGGGTCCTTCTGAAAAGCACCCATGACATTTGCTGGGCGCTTGGCCCTTTTGGCGAGTCGTTTGGGTCCTACACGCACATGTTCCTTGGCAGCTGCGCCAATTTGGAGTCTTCGCAGCCCAATGAAGATGAGATGCCTGGTCCATTGCAGAACGAGCCCTCAATAAGCTTGAATTGGAGCCTCCCCCTCACCGAGTTCGGCCAAGAGCTGCTGTTCCAAAGGATTGTGAACATGTTCGAGCGAACCACCTCCATGATCGCCGTTCCCCAGAAGAAGCGGTACAGACTCAGCGGCGATGACCTGTTCCGTGTCAGGAATATGGTGTGCCTGTTCGATCAAATCTACCCCCACCTTGGTGCTCGCATTGGTCTTGACGCCGCTAACAAATGGCTCGAAGATATCCGCTCTGGGACGCATCGAGATGCTGACCTCATGTCCTTGCTGCACATGAGGCCACCCATTTTTGCAATGAGTATGTTGCCCTCAGAGCAGGAGCAATCCAAGCGATCCTTGGAGGAGCTGGAGATCAAGAAGTGTGAGGATAAGGAATCTCAGAAAGCAGAGGTGACTGCAGCGCAGTGGGCCTTTTTCAAAGGAGCGCTTAGCAGAGATCAATCAAAGCTTGACAGTGTCCAGCAGGCTCCTCGCAATGTGCGCCTCCGGCTTCATGCCAAGCAAGTGGCGCATCGATCTCGCCTCGTTGCAGAAGGTGAAGCTGCTTGCAGAGGCTACCAGGATTTGGGTTTTGTGGCAAAGATGATTTGGTTCGGTTAGTCCTTAGTGTTTGTTGATTCATTTCATCCCAAATTGGTCGCTTCAATTGTATTCAATAAGCTCCAGGAGAGCTTCTTGAAGGTGATTGCGTTGGAGAAGATGGATTTGCTGGGAAGCGAGATCAGCAAATACAAGAGCCAGATCGTTTCTCAGTCATGCTAGGTCATGATCCTTTTCATTTTGTCAATCCGTCTTTGAGATGTTTTGCAAATGTTGGAACTTGAAGTGGCGTGCTTTGGGGTTGTGTTTTTCCCCGCATGAAAACACAAGATGTTTAAACCTTGAATTCAGGCTGATGCCATGCAGGTTGGCGTCGACTCCATTCACTGCCTGGGCCTTTGCGACTACAACGCCCCCCGGAGCACGCCAGAACACCAAAGCCGAGTCGCTAGCGCAAGGCATGGCTATGATCAATTCCTCCGGGTCGTTGGCAAAAAACTCCGTGATTTGCCTTTTGCCAGACCACCCAAAGGACTCGTCGATTCGGGGATTGTATGACGAGGAGAGGGTGATCATGGAAGCGTTGTTCTCGCAGCAGCAGTCCGTGGAGTGCCGCTTCATTGACCTTTTCACTCGCGAAAAGAAGTCTGAAAACAAGACCAATATGAGGAGATTCGCTGCTGGGCGAGTAGTTGTGCACGGTGACACCCTGGACAGCAATTTTTGGCTATCTTCTGAGCTTGCGGTGTGCGGCAGACCTGTCGGCCGTGCTGAAGGAGAACAAGGTGCTCCGACGAGCATCCTTCCTCGTGCAAGTGCCCTTCTGCTTCCCGAAGCTGGAAGTCCGGACCAAGATCTAAAGCTGGCAGAAAGGACCCGGCCGTCGCCGGAACAGACCAGCGCGCAGAAAGGCACTGCGCGGCTCGAGCTCTTGATCGAGAGCGCCTTCCGTCACACCAGGATCACCGGCCCGACGATTTTGGTGAACTTGACTGGCTATGTCGAGGAAGCTGCTGCTGCTGTCACTCGGACCGTGTTTTTGTTTTGTTAAGGTTTTTGCGTTTCCGAGGCGTTGGGAAGTGAGCCTCATAGTAGGTGTTGTAATTTGAGGATTTGGGGTCAAGACTGTTCCTGGGAAAGCTTCACTGGATCTGGTGGTCATGGGGTTATGGGGTTGTATTTGCATATATGTTTTCTTCCGTGCCTGTGATCTTTTGGAGCCCCTGCCATACAATCCAAAAAAACCTTGGACATATATTCCCACTAATTGTATAGTTGCGAGATCATGAGCATCAGGCCTTGCGCAAGACCAAGACAGATTTTACTGTTTCATTTGTGATTGGCCTTGGGATCTGAGGTTTTGAACCTGCGAATCAAAGGCAAATTGGCTGGTGATGGAGGTGGGTACGACTTTGCGGACCTGCACTACCTGTCGGCTCACACGCTGGAGTCGAAAAGTGGCATTGCCCATGCAAAAACCCGGGTATACCGAGAGTTGTTGGATGCCTGGCTCAGCAAGCGCATTGTCTTCCAAGGGAAAAGATTTGACGACACTGACATCGCCTTGACCGACAAGGACTGACTGGGGCGGGTAGTCATGGATGAACGGGGCAGCTGCTGTTTTGTGAGGAATGACCAGAAACTAAATACTTGATATAGACATATATACATATACAGTTACATAGGACACCACCATACTTCATCAAAGTCCACCAATCAAAGTTGGTCAACGCGACTCAAATTAAAGCAAAAGACATTTCACAATTAAGTAGTAGAAAGTACTATGTTAAAATTCAATGCGCTGATGATTCAACACCCACCGGGTCAAAGTCAACAAGCTAAAACATGTTTAAAAAAATCTCCCTGAGGGAGTGGAGAAAAATATACCGTGCATCGACTTGGCATTGTACGAGTAAATGTATCCATACACACAGATGTATATACATATGTACTTACCCTCTCGCGAAGCTTGATGTACAGTGTGTGTTTTTTTCTACATATGGGTGCGCATAGTAGGTATTCCCCCTGCATTCGCCGCAACATATACACTCGCAAGTGTTGCTGTTGAAATCTCACTCAGTTTATTGACGTATATATAGATGCTGTATTTCCTTGCTGAAGGAGCTGGCCGAGATCCCGCATGCCCAATGCATCAAATCCGCTGACGCGCTGGAATTGGAAGCTTGTGTCCGCCAAGGAACCAAGATCGCGATCCATCCTGACCAAGTAAAGCAGTGGACAAGTTCGGGCGCTGCGCTGGAAGCTGAGTTCAAGAAGTTGGAGGCCAACCACATTGAAAAATACCAGAACTGCTTGGCTTCTGTGATTACCGCGCAGGCTCAGAGTAGCTCTTCGCTTCCGACAGCAGCTGGGGCTGTGGTGGCTGCTGACGACGAGAACAACGAGGATGATCCCCCTCCGGCATCGCCGGCCCCTGTGACCCAAGATTCTGAGTTCGCTTCATTGGAGAAACTTCGCGAATCTGATGCCGTGGAGGTCAAGTGTGCTTCAGAGGTCGCAGGAGTGGACTTGATCAAGACGGCTTCTGGAAAGATTTGGCTTCTTTCAGAGAAAGATCGAGTTGTGCCACGATTTTCTCAAATTGGAGGCTACGGGACTGGGAAGTATCCTGGCTGGAACGTCTTGAACTGGACCCCCCAAACAATTGCTTTTCCGTGTGTGTGTCATTTCCATGTAGATGGAAAGAATGCATCAAGTATCATGACAATATTCGAGCACCCCCTTATATGTATGATATGTTTTCTTTTTTTATACGGACAGGCACAAAGCAATATATATTATATGTGCCACCAACCCTGGATTGGAGTATGAACGCTAAGAGCTTTGGGTCTGCAAATTGTTTCGCTTCCAGGTACGTTCCCACCAGTGAAGCCGGTGATGGTGTAGCGCTGGAATGGCCAGAGAAGGACAAGACATTGGTCCAAGTCGATCAGAGCTCCGTGACCCCTGAGAGCAACCAGATTCAAGTCATGTCACTGTACCGGTTTTTGGTGCAGCTAGAACGGACCAAGAAATTGTCGGTCTACCAGCTGAGCTACAGTGAATGCACCCGGAAGCCCACAAACACAGCTTCGGGAAACAGCGATGGATTTGAGATCACATTGAAGGACGCTCAGAAGTACAAGTCGCTGGCTGGAGCAGACAGGACTGTGACAGCCAAGTCCTTCTTTGCTGCCATCATGGCCAAGGTGGACCAGTCAGCCTTCATCGGCAAAATTTTCCGTTGGAGGTTTGAGCGCGTGCACGCAGTGTGCAAGGTGCAGAAGCCTTACGTGATCTTGAGGTCAGCCTTGCAGTTGAAAGCCGGTCGTCCTTTTCAGATTGCCTAGGGAAGTTGCATGAGACGTGTTGTTTTCGGATACCACATGTTTAAAGGAGAAATGTTTTTGATATTCTACTGCGCATGGTTGATGCCCCATAATGCCTCAGCACGTCGACCATGTCAACTTCGGTTTGCCGCAAAGAAGAGTTCCATGGGTGTTCTTTTGGTATCGAATTCAATCCCGACAAATGCTAAATGCTTGATCAGTGTCGTTCCATGTATTTGAGTTCACTTTGCGTGCAACACCCAGGACTCAACTGTTGTAGGGAATGCCACGCTCGCTCTTTCGAGTTGGTTTGTGACCTTTGACTGGTTGGGCGGCTCCATTTTCGTTTAAAGTTGAATCCCATCAAGCGTCAACTGTCCTGTTGCTGGAGATATAAGCAGAGCCGCTCGAGTAGATGTCCCAGTCATTCTATATGTTACGGTGTCAGAGATACTTGAACCTTTGTGTTCGCAACGCTCCGCTCTGTGAGGCAAAACATTTGTGTCCTTTCAAAGCATTCTAAGGACGCTACTAGGGCTCCTGGCCTTACCACTAGGAACAAGAAGCTAGTAGGAGCAAAGGGCATCGCTACTAGGAGCAAGGACGCTACTAGGGGCTCCTGGCCTTACTACTGTAGAGTCTTGGTGGGAGATCCGAAAGGAAGAGTTGACGTTTGTGGAATTGCTCATGGTTTATTTTGGTCGTTTCTTGGTTCTTGTTTCCGCAGATCCTTGGCCAGAGCAGAAAATTGTTTGCCAGACTGGTCATGGTACGCCGGCGCTTATCATGGCTGCAGAAGCACAAGCGCCTGCTCTCAAGAAAGAACATGGAAGCCCGCCAACGCTGCCGAGATGTGGCTTCTTCTTTATGGGCTTGCTGCCGGGTCCCCAAATTGCGCCGGATGGAGCGACATATAGATGAAGGTGATCTGACCCCTACTATCTCCATTCCTGGAAGCCCGTGGTCTATCTCCGAGTGGGCGGAATTGGAGCGAGAGCAAGATGAGGAACTCAAGCGGCTTGGACGGCCTCCGGTTGTCAAGGGGCAAAGGCCTTTGCCCTGGCGCGAGTGAGGTTTTCTTTTGAGTTTAGGGTAAGTCCACAAGTGCCGAAAGCAGGCCTTGTGATTGATGCTGGGTGGGTTGGGGAAACAGTGGGTGCGCGTTATTGCAAATCTGTTTGCGGAGTGTGGGGCAATTTGAATAATTTGACAGATTCTAGAACAGCCACCGAAAAATAAAAAAACATGGCGCCGTCAAGTCTCAGGCTGTAATTATTGTTCAGCAGCATTTGTTTTCTGTTGCTGCACTTGAAGGCACCTGAAGCCGCGTTTGCGCATGCGTGGTTTGTTGCAGCAATTGGCCATGAATTCCTTCGCATGTCGGTCAGAATCACCAGCCTCATTAGCTTTAGGTGGCGTGGGCATGCATTTGAGTGTTTGTGATTGCTTCAATTCCAGCTCAAGGCCAGTCAATTGGTCAGGTCTGAATCGGATTGTCTTTTTTGTCAAATGGCTGGACGCACAGAATCGCTTCGGTCTTCAATTTTGGCGCAAGCTGCCTCGAGGCACGCCTTTGGCCAGGATGACGAGTTTCTGGAAGATTCACCTTCTTATCCAGCTCGGTGCGCAGCAGATTCCAGCCGTAGGCGTTCTCCTTTGAAGGAGAGCCAAGCTCCTGATGATGTGGAGCCTGCTCGATTCAGGCAACTGGTTCCTGTTCGACCTGATGCGGCGGCTGCTGCTCGACCAGCTTGTGAAGGTGAAGAATCTCAGGAGAGAATCTTTCCAGAGTCAGAGGATGAAGGCCCACCTGCCCGGCCTGAAGAGAAGTCGAAGCCAAAGGTTCTTCCCAAGAGAAAGAGTGCCTTGAAAAAACCTTCTGTGAAAGATGCACCTGAGCCAGAGGAGGGAGAGACTGCCAAGGAATCCCAGGAACCCCTCGTTCTGAAGCGCCCAGCGAGCTGCCTGCCCGTGGAGCCCCCAGTGCTGAAGCGACCTGCGGGTGCGAACCAAGCACCTGCACCTTCTGCGAAGAAGTGGTTCCCGAACGCTGAGTACTCTTACAAGGATGAATCTGGCGATTGGGAGGCCACAAAGTTGACAAGTCGCAGTCGTTGACGCAATGAGAGTTTGGAACAGATAGCTAAGACTGGAAATCCTTAGCTCAGGATTTTGAAACTAAACATAAGTTGTTTCTGTCTGTACATCTACAGGCGTTTAACGTTATGTTATGTTCATTCCCGTTTCATGTTCATATTTATTTCATTTCATGTACATATCCAGGTTCATTGCATTTTGACTCCATCGTTTGATCGGGATTTTTAAGTCTAACTTCCTTTTCCTGATTCCTTTGTGTGTTCGGCTTCATTTTCGTTTCATGTCGCGGTACATTTATGTTATTCCTTCCTTCCTTGTTTCCTTTCTGTTGTTTGCTTTCCTTTTCTTTTATTTTCATTAGTTCTTTTGTCCTTCATGCATACTTACATACATGTATACATGCTGCATGTATAACAAGTGACTCAGTGGCTGAATGAATGGCTGTGCGACTAAGTGTGGCTGAATGAATGGTTTGATGCATGACTGAATGAACGCATACATGAATGAGTGAATCCATGAGTGGCAGAAGGAATGAATGAACGATTGGTGCATGAACAAGAAGGTTGGTGAATGAATGAGCAAATCCAAGGATGCATCCTTCATGGGTGAATGGAACCATTGAATGAATGAATGAATGAATGAACAAATTAAATGAATGAGTGAATGAATGAATGAAATGAAATGACATAACATAACATAACATAAACATGAACATGAAAAGACATGAACAATTACAAGAAATGAAATGAATTGAAATGAACTGAAAGGAAAGTAAATGAAATAAAATGAAACGGAATGAATGAATGAATGAATAAATGAATGAATGAATGAATGAAGCAAACAAATGAATGAAGCAAACACATGAAATGAAACAAAAGAAGGTGAAATGAATTGAATTACAAAGACAAAAAAGAATGGAATGAATGCCTGATTGAATTATGTATAGATTTGGATATGCATATGGATATGTCTATGTGTATGTATATGGGTTGATTGGTTGGGTGCGTGTATGTGCCCTGAGGTGTTTGTGCACACAAGAGAAACGGGTACGAGCAAGGGCGACAAATGGCGAATGTTTGTGCACCACCCCAGCCAGACCACCTACAAGTCTTGGAACACTGCCCAGAAAGCTGGGCTTGATAGATCCAAGGCCGTGGACCCTCATGAATCTAAGAAGGATTCTTGAACCGGTGAGTTTGAATCTTTTTTTTGGAGGGCACCGGCTTGAAGCCCGGTCACCTTGAGTGGCACTTCTGCGCTTGACCGCAAAAAGAAAGGCTGCTTCCTTGAATGGAAGTCTGCGTGAGTCAACACTTGTCCTTGCTTTTGGGAAATGGAAGATTATAGAAATAGTAAATAAATACATACTGGATATTCGTACAGCTCTCCAAAAGTTTAATGGCACTACGTGCTTATTCAACATGCGCCCTTGAGGAACAGAAATTAAGTTATCAGTTATGGACATGGGCAAGCAGTATAAATCGGCGGCACTTGTAGAGCTGCGTTCACTGACAGTAACAGTCGCCATTGACCTTTGCTGACAAGCGCCATTGACCTTTGCTTAC